ATAAATTAGTATTATATTGGAAAATTTTAGAAAAGGAAATTATTAATTAACTTATATTGAAAAATAAAAGATAAATTAATTTAATTTTGTAAATAATATATTTAAAAAGAAAATAAATTATTTAATATATTTAAAAAATCAATAATTTAGTATATATACTTTTTGGAAAATTACCAGCACCCGACATTCAATATATCCTTTTGATCCTTTTTACCAGCAAATTAGACATTGGGTTTTCCCGTGCATCGCACGGGTCCCCTACTAGTGGTACAGAAAAATAAACATTATTGTTTCATAGTAATAAATGGTTGAACATACCAGGTCACAGTATTTTTCATGTGGAGTAGAACTAAAAGGAAATTTAGCACACAAATGCCGTGGATGAGGATAATCTCTGCATGCTAGCTGCAATGAACAAAACAAAAAAATTAGTCATGATGCTGATGTTACAAAAGTATTTAAAGATATTGACCTTGCAGTCTCAGCTACATGTAGGGCTGTAAACAGATCGAATCGAATCGGATATAGGCAGGTCCAAATGTGATTCATTTGTATTTAAATTTGAACTGGACCTTATCCTTCGGATTTGTATCAAAAATTCAAATTGAATTTGAATTGCAATTGGATATTGAATAGTATTAATAGATTAAACTAAAAAATGATCAAAATATTATGTATTATTACTAAAATGAACCAAAATGACTAACATTGTACTTCATTAACAAATGAATTGAAAATAACTTTTATGATCCTCAAAAAAAAAAAAGGAAAATAACTTGTATGAAACTTAAACATATAACAATTTGATAAAAACACAACATCTAAACCAACTTTACTGATAGATACAATATAAATTTTAAGCATTTACTAACATATATATTTAAATTGTGTTAAAGTAATAAAGTCTAGTTGGCAGGGGTATAATTGTCTTCCTGTTTTGGTTAGGCTGTTAAATATTTTTCTTACTGTAACTTAAGGGCAATCTTGTAATTTCACTTTAAGTTATGAAATAAAGTACAAGGGTCGACAGTTGGGGGAGTCTAGTCTTCTCTCAACCGGATCCTTTTTCATTTTATCCTTATTTTTCCTCTTCTTTTGTTGCCGTCTATAGAAGATTACATGGTATCAGAGCACCTCTAATCGACCTAGATTGCTTTTGACGTCACAAGAAACCTTTCCATTGAGAGTACTTCCTCTCTGTTTTGGGTGTAGGAGGCATCCATGCCTCAGGTTTCAATCATTGACAGTTTTCAGGTGGTTTCCTAGACTGCCTCTAATAAGCAGCCTGAAGAGGGGTTTGTTTCGATGTTCCTAATCATCCCAGTTCTCTATCAATTGTGGTGATCAAGTGGTGTGATGTGGTGTAGAAGCAACCTGATTGTGTGGCTATGAGGTTGTCCTAGTGATTCAAGTAGGTGGTGTTTGTTTTTTTATTTATTTTTTGTTGGTTTTTCAGTGCTGAAAATTGGGCACGGTAGACTTCAGCTTTGCTTTTTTTTTACGAGTAAAGAGCCTTCTTGAGTAATTGTTAGCAGTGAGCAGTGTTCCCTTTTTTCCCCTTTTGGTCTCTGTGGCCTGATGGCTTCATCCAATGGTGGACTTAAATCTGCTGTTGTGTTACAGCAACATATTTTAAATTCCCAATTGACTACAGTCAAGCTTAATGGTACCAATTATGTACCATGGGCGAAGTTGGTATCAGTTTCATTGATTGGGAGAAGAAAATTGAAGTATATTAAGGAGGGCTAGCCTAAGAGTGGGCCTGAAGGGTACAATGAGTGGGTACAAGAAAATGCCCATATTTTTTTATCAATATAACAGAAATTTTCATTAAAAGATATGATTCAAGTACAATGGTGGGGAGAGGTAAACACTCTTAAGTCGTTAACTCTCCCCTAGAGAGATACAAAAATTATAAAGTAGCCCAAAGCAAATGATTTCTTCCCACCCCTTGTTTAGCAATTGCATCTGCAAATGAATTTGGTGCATTTTTTTAGCCACTGCAGTCTCACCTCCATACCCTGAGTCAACCACTTGAATTGTCTCGGTTCATTGTTGTATGTCCACATGCTATCATCTTCCTTCCCTAACCATTCTATTACCACTTTAGAGTCTCCTTCAATGATCAGCTTGTTAACATTTAGTTCCTTGGCCCTTTTCACACCCTCCATCAAAGCCAAAATTTCTGCTCTCAATGAATCCCCAACACCAATTGGGCCAGAAAACAGAGCAATGACTAAACCTTCCTCCAATCTAAAAACTCCAATCCTTGAAGGTCCAGGGTTACCTTCACTGTTGTCATCAAAGTTTAGCTTCATGAAACCTGCACAAGGCAGAGACCATAGAGGGCGAGCAATACTTCTGCTTGGAGCTGAGGCTGCCGCTTCCTGTCAATTATTCAGTAGAGTCCCCATGTGAATGTCATTAAAATCTCCACTGTTTTTACCCAATGAACCACCCTAGAAGTGATCAGTTCTATGATTGCCTCTCTGCTTCTCTCCTTTTCAGCAAATATTCTTTGGTTTCTTTCCTCCCAAATTGTCCAGCAAACCGCCACTCTTGTACATCTCCACAATATTCTTCCCCTCTTCTTTGTCCAACCACCAGCAGAAGAATCAAAGAGGCTTTGTAGATTTTGGTGGGGGAGTCCACCTACAGCCAAACAGAGAGAGAAACCAAACCCAAATAAAAGAAACAAAGGGGCAAGAGATTAATAAGTGGTAACAAAACTCACCATTGGCTTTGCAAAGAATACACCAGTTAGGTACAATCACCAAAAGGCTTCTTTCTTTGAAGTGCAAGTGTTAATTCTCTCCAAGACTATTTTCCAACACAGTGCCCCAACCCTTGGCAAGACTAGTTTCTCCCACACTAGTTTAACAGGGAAAGAATGCCCAGGACTAGAAGAAGGTTGTACTTATGGCTTTGAAGAAGGAGGTGCAAGTATAGGAACTAGAGGAGGAGAGGGTCCAAATCCGAGATTCCAACTTAGATGGATCCAAGAAAACCTTTTGAAGAATTTGAATCAAAGCCAAAACATTGTCCAAATCTAATTCTCTAAATCCCCATCTAAACCCCAGGTCCAAATCAAGCTTAGGCCCTAGACCAAAAGAGGACAAAAAAGTGGAAACAAGCTCATTTTTGTAGCTGGAAAGGGAAAATAATGATGGAAATTGACCTTTAATTGGTAAATACCCCACCCACACATGTTCCCAAAACCTTACCAAATTCCTAGAGCACAAGTTATACCTAACGAAGGGTAGGAAATATGAAAGGTTGGTGTGAATAGATTTCCAACATGCCACACTATTTGCTCGAGCCTAAATTCCCGCATCCCAGCCATCAGCCGCCAGCCCATGGATGCTAAAGATCACCTTTGTCTACAATTTATACCTATCCATCAGTAATCTCCACAACCATTTTCCTAACAAAGCCATATTCCTTTTTCTGGATGTTCCCAATCCCTAAGCCACCAAATTCCTTGCTTTTCCTTACCACTTCGCCCCTAACCCTATGGCCCTTCCTTTCCTCCCCAGGTTCCCACAAGAAATCCCTCATTAACTTCTCTAGGCTTCTACAAACCCTCACAAGAATCTTGAAAACTGATAAAAAGTACATAGGCAAATTGGCCAGAGTTGATTTGATCAATGTTATTCTTCCACCTAATTAAAGATAATTCCTTTTCCAAGGGGGTAATCATTTTGTCAACCTATCCACCACTGGGTTCCAGAATGTCACATTTCTCAGGTTTCCTGTTAGGAACTGCCTAACTCAGGGACTCTTTCGAGGGAGCCTGCCTCCAGAATGAGAGAGAGAGAGAGAGAGAGAGAGAGAGAGAGAGAG